CAGTTAGAAGGATGGTTCTGCATAGCTACAACTAGTGAATCGATATCAGGATCAATTGTGCTTAGTTTCATTCGTAAATTTGGATCAACATTAAGCCTACTGCGAAATTTATTTTTCAGTTGTAGCATAGCAGAAAATTCAGTTTCACACAGGTAGGTTGTCGTAAAAGGAAGTAAAAATAACAATGCTTTTTCTGATAAGGCTGGATATTCATTTTTAATATTTAGCCAGAATTCAGCTAATTCTAATTTAGAAAACTCTATTTTCAAGCCTCCATCACAAGATAGTTCTATTAAAGATTCTTTTTCATCCTGTTTTAATGATTCAGGAATGCTATCCAAAATAAATGGTTGTCGTATCCAAAGAAACTGAGCATAGTCTTCGTCAAAATATTCTTTAAAACTATCACTTAGCATTTGACAATGCTGTTTTATGTTAAAAATAAGATCATCTTTAATCTTTATTTCATGCTCAACCACAAAATTTTCTAAATTGGTAAACGACTGCAAGTCTTTGTTTGAAACACTATTTTTCATCATATAACATTTCTTGATAAAAGCATTTATTTTGTCGTTTACAGAAAATCGATTATGTGATTTACCTTGTAAGCTTAAGTTTAGGTCATTTAATCGATTAAATATATCTGTTAGGTAAGCTAGTGTTGTAAGCCAACATCTAATTGCCGATCACGCAGTTCAAAATTGGTTTCCATTAAAAACACATGTACTTCAGAACGTAACTCGAATAACCTGTTCAACATTTTTCCTTTTGATAGCCATCTTATCTCCGTGTGTAGCAATAACTGAATATGATCACTAAAATAAACGCGAGTTTAAGGCTCGAGATTTTATGAAATTGACTATCTGAACGGCTTCATGGAGAACATGTTTAAATTCATCGGGCATTCGCTTTGCTACCAAAGCTTCTTTGTGCAACCAGTTTTACTTTGGCAGTTACACCTCCGTATTTTCCTGTCATGGCTCGGGCACCATCCGAACAGAAACCAACGCATTGTTTCCAGTCTAGTCCATTTTCCACAAAAAAATCATTGATTTTCTTGAATATTTCATCGGCAGTAGTTCGTTCCGTTAACGCCTCACAAAATAAGTACTCTTCTTCGATTTTGGTTTGAAATATATACCGCACATAAACCATAAGCTGAGCATAGTTTGTAATATCTGTGCTCTCATCAAGTTGTATTACAAAAAAAAATACTATTTTTTATCCGGTTTATCAATTTCTCTTTAACATTTAATGCCATTATTTCAATCCTTCGACGTACGGTATCATTGGATAATGGTATAATACTAAGCTGTTTACCTGAATTCTCTCCAAAAATACACGCTACCATATCTTGTGCGGCAGGCAGAACTAGTTCTTCGCCGATGGTATGCGCTTTTCCACACTTCGCAATTCTTAAACTCACGAGGAAGGATGCCTCTACTGCTTTTTGGTTGCTGCCGGTGAAATTCGACATTAATTTTTTTGTGCCTCTCATCTCCGTTAACTTGCGAACGAAGTAATCCTTAGGTTTATTTTCCAACACTGAATGTTTTGTACTGAAGTAGCGTTTTAATAGCGAAGGTTTCATACACTGGTTAGAAAGAATTTCCGAACAGATTACACATTGGGGCCTTGGCTCATCATTTATATTCGTGAATGTAAATCCCATATTAATGTATTCAGGATCATATTTCCTAACCGCCACTTTTAGTTTTTTGAAATAATTCTTTTTGTCATCACCCTGGATAGGCTCCGACTCTGAAGTGGAGCTCGATAGACCGGGATTTTCAGATGTTCTGTTGTCTCTTTTAAGCCACTTATCCATTTTTTATATGCAAAAATTAGCACGAATCAGTAACAGCAAATTACTCGTTTCGACAAAATTAACCACAACGACTGACGGCCACGAGGAAACTAATGACCACTGATGACGTGAATCAAGGGCGGTGGCAGATTGCCGGGATTCCAGTGTTGCCAACAATGAATAAGACATTACGCGCTTGTGTTTCCAACTCACAGCGTTGCCATGCACCACGTAAAAGATAACATTCGTTGATAAATTTGATTAAAATTCTTCGTTTCTTCTAGTTTATAGGGTACCACCTTAAAGTTCTTTGCGTACCACCAGTGGTACGCGTACCACAGTTTGAGTACGGCTGCTCCAGACTATTCCTTTCCTCTCTATAGCACTCTGATGCGCGATAGGAGCACAACTATCAGCCAAATGCTCTTCATGTTGGAGTCCTGGTAATAGAACTCCAACATGGTACCCTAACCTATCCAAATTCGGGCTAGCGCCTTTTTCCTGTTAACTTTTTGTGACATATCTTGAAACTGAAATTGCTTGCTTGTTTGTGCCTCAAGCCTCGGCTCAAGGGTTTAAGCCCTACGTTCCCGAGTTTTTTGGTTTTGTTAGTTTTTTTTGTTGGCTTGCGTCGGTTTTTGTTAATATTTTCTGTTTTTTTGATGGTCGAAGCCACCAAAGAAGTCTTTTATGTTTTTTATAATATTGGTTCCATTGGATGACACGAGATATGTTTGTTCTAATGGAACTTTGGAATATAAAAATATAAAGTAGTGTATATGTTCTTTGGGCCCTACTGTTACTGTATACATTTGATTGTCCTGTGTCTATCTCATTTCTTCATTATTCTTTTGTATCTTTTATATATCTGGCTAGCTGCTGTCTAGGCCGTCTACGTACCATCCTTTGGTTTCGTCTTAGTCTGTAAATTCTCTTAATGGTCTGCTCGGATAGTTTCTGAGATTGTCGAATATCTCGTGTGCTATTAGACAAGTAATCGGGGTACTAGACCACTTAGATAACCTGTCCATTATGATGTCCGATATGAAGATATCGATGACCTAGGTTGATCTTGGAGTTATACAAGAAGTACAAGAAGTGATCGACAATGACCAAAGGGTTGTAAGAAGAGGGCGCTCATCTCTAGATCTCTTCTCTGCCGAAGAATTGCCATCTTACCTGCCTCACCTGTCACTTTGTCACCTTATCTGTCTCACCTGTGTAATTACCTGTCCTGAAGAAGTGAGCGACAATATCCAGAGGTTAGCTGAAGTAGTGCTGGTCTTTAGGAGTCTTCTTGTGGATTGGTGGAAGAAGTATCTTGTCTTATTTTCAGTCACTTCCCTCAATGGTGTATATTGGAGCCTTTCTCTGTTCTTTCTAGTTTCTTCTAGTTGGTTTCCAGAATATTTCGACCAATCCGACTCAGAAGTCTTGAATGTTTCGACCAATCCAGGGCCTGATTCATTTTGAATTTTTTCGTGACCGATTCCAGAAGCTGTCAGCTTGACCGGTCGATTGCGATCGACCGTTTGATCATCGCTGTTGTAAGGTATTTAAAATCTACATCTACAGATCTTACCACTGTGAATCCCACAATAAAGATATTAGAACAATCAAAATAGAGATTACATCAAAACCGATTGAGATGAGTATGACACGTAGCTCGAGTTTAACAAATAATAAAAAGTACAAGCACTGAGCAAATATGCTGCTATTATAGTATGATATTAAGTTATCAATATCAATTAAAGATTTATTACTACTAATTCTGCTTAATGTTTTAAAACATTTAAAATTTGGTGATTTCATATTGTTTTATATATTCTTTCTACATAGTACTTTAGCAATTGCTTGTCTATAATTTTCACCTTTTATGAAACGCTTAAAGAGGTAATTGTTTCCAAATCTTCATGAGTAGGTTACGCCGTCAATCCACATATCAATAGATACATAAAAAATTCTCCCCCAATAATATCTTTTACTTATTATAAAGTAGGTCTTCTGCCAGTCATTGAACTTTGTCATAGACAAATTAGCAAATTCTAATCTTGTTTTTGTTATAAATAAATACATTTTGATGACAGCGATAAAATTGTTGCTCTATGACCTCAATTGATAATTAGATTTTAAACTCAAGGACATTTCTAAACTAGAAAAACGCGTAGTAAAAATTATTGCTAGAAATAAACCTTAGTTAAAAACTTAACGATAGATACAGAGACATGCATCGGTTTAATTTGTTACCTACTGGAAAAATGCATTCACATGTCAAAAATGTAAATAATTATTAATATTGGCAATTCCTCTTCTTATAAAGCAGCCTTTTAAAAATAATAAACAATATAGTTTCTTTCTATAGAAATAGTTTATATTTTTCTCAAAATATTAAGTATCATATCAATATCAAAAAGTAATCGAATAAACTAATCCAATAAAGTAATCAAATAGAATAATTAGATGTCGTATCAAATATCAATAAAATCGTAAACACCACTAGGCCAGTCTTAACCTAAGTCCTCTTTGCAATGAATTAACTGTGTTGAAAATAAAACAAAAAATCAAGTAAATGATAAATACTCAAAAAGAACAAAAAAATGTAGCGTTTAGTTAATCCATTTCGATTTAAACATGTTTAAAATAGAGACTGAAAAAATTATTAATTAACATTAAATATTTAATGACGAATAGTGAAATATCGTCGGCTTACAAGCGAAACACACTAAGTCAAAAAATATAGTTTTGAGATAATCGTGTTTTAAATTTTTTTAAAAACAGTTTGATCAATTTTCACATTTAAAACTTTTATTTGTTGTTTTGTAATTATACGAAAGTTTTCATAAAGTATTAATAATGATTACTGACGAGGAGAGGTAAATTATATATTACCAAATTATTAATTTTTGTTTAATTTTCGATTTGAATACGTTGACTTAATGTTTTTTACCTGTAGCATTTAAATTAGTGTGTTTTACTTGTTTAATTTTGCTATGAAAGTATGACTTACGTGTATGTTTTTTTATTTGCTTACTGTCATACGATTATTGCAGGCTTCGTTTACATTGTAAATAATACAATTATTGTTGCTTATATAAGTTTTTACTTTTTTCATGTATATTTTCACAAAACAAGAACATTATTAAAAAAAACAGGTATAACAAAACAAAACGTGTATAACAAAAAAAAATGCTTTTAATTTTCAAAGTCTTCTTCGTCAGAGTCCTTTTCAGCTGACTCCGCTGTTTGGTCTCGAACAGAAGAGGAACTTGGTAGATTTTTGAATCAGGTATGGAGCGCTTGCGGAACTATATTTTTTTCACAGAGCTTTATCAAATCTTTTTTCTTTGCATCCGAAATTGGAAGCTGTTTAGAATATAATTGAGGAATAACCAAATTTTCATTATTATTATCCTCTTTGACTGTTCTGTTAGAAGCACGACGTACAAAACTAACGTCAATATATTCATATTCGTCGTGATAATTATATTTGTACTATAGAATGTTAGGAATCTGTTTCTCATACTTAAAATACTTTACCTTTAACCAGTTGACCGTTTGCCCTTTTTGATCCTCTTTCTTATTAACAATAGCATATTGTGCAACTTTTTTCAAATCTAAGAATTCGTTATAATTAACTTCACGAGTATTATAGAAAGATTTTTTATTCCCATTGTTGTCCATTCTGGCCATTTTAAAGACATTTTCATATTCGTGAACACTAAAATCTCCACATTTTTTTTGGCACTTCAATAGCGCTATGCATGGAATCTACTTCCATATAGAAGTGTCCACTTTCCATGAACTTTTGCTCAATTATCTGAAGACTCGGATGGTTTTTAACAATATGTAAAAGCAGAGCAGATACTTGAATATTTTTGTTCTGTCCTCCACACGTATCTGAAAAAAGCGTTAGATGTTCTATCAGATAATGAATTAATGTACATTCCTAGGCAAGTACCAATTTTACATCTTCCACGCTTATCATTGACTTCGGTCCAAAAATAACAGAATGCCTCATTTGGTGGAGCAGATTCCTAAATTGTAAAATTATAAAGGTTCAGCTTTCTAAGATAATAAAAGAGACTTACTTGCGATGATAGAATTTGTAAAACGCTTTGTATATCACATGTAATTGATTTAAATATTTTATTCTTTTTCGATAATTCTTTGTCTAAATTTTTTTCTTTCATTGCAGCCTCCTTTCTGTCTAAACGACTCCTATAATTAAGCTCCATCGCTTCTTTTTCTTGTTGCGATGCTTTTGTGTATTCCTTACAGGTTAAACATTGGTCTTTCTTAGGTTTGAAAAATGATATATTAAATTCCTTGCAAAAGATTCGCCTATAGGTTATCTAACTTAAGCTTGGCAAATTGTCCTCTTTACACTTTTTAACGAACAGGTCGTGCATTTTTTTAATATCAAGATTGCAATCTAAATAAAGTATTTTCGAAGACTTTCTAGTGCAGTGACTTTCTACATCAGGAAAGCTTTCAATGTGTTTTTTTGCTCTTATTCTTGCTTCACTGAAGTTTTATTGCCAGGAATCCTACGGCCCCTTCTGTCTATTCCACTGTATTCGCCGCTTACATTTTGCTCTTTAAAGGCATTAATTATAGGCCTATTAGAAATAGAAAGTGTTTTACAAAAAAATTTCTGACACACTTGACTTTTCTTTCCCATATTTGTGAAAAAATAGGATTTTGCGTTGGATCGCATTTTACTATTTTCTCCTTTTCCAGGCCTGCGACTCTTTATTTTATTAGAAAGCACATTCAATAATATAAAATCTTTCTGTCTTTGAAATGACAATATCGCATAAGTTTGACATAGCAACTTCCGGTGCTCTTCAGAAAAGTTGATGGTCTTGGGATGTTGACCACACAGATGGTCTTGGGATGTTCCATCGGCTTCTTTTAGATCCTACTTGACTATTTTCATTTGAATTTGTTTTTTCCTCGTCTGCTGTAGAGTTTCCTTCGCCGGTATCTAAATTATCACTTTCATTACCTGAAGGAATGTAGTCGCTATCCTCCATACGTTCATCAGAATCCTGGTCACTTATTTGAGGAGGACCTGACTGAATATCTTAACAAAAATTATCAGAATTTAGGCTCACGTCTTTGTTTATCGCTGTAGGTAGTTCGACAGAAAATTTTATTTTTCTTACAGAAATTAATTATTAATCATCATCATCAGTGGTGCTACAACTCTAGTTGAGCCTTGACCTTCCCCAGTCTATTTCGCCAGTCGTTTCTGTTCATCGCAAACCGTTGCCAATTTGCCGCGCCGATTTTCCTTGCGTCCTCGTCCACACCGTCCCTCCATCTCAGTCGTGGTCTGCCTCTACTCCTATTTCCCACTGGGACCGATAATAGAGTTCGTCTGGGTGGGTAATTTTCATTTGCTCTTGACTATTAATTAATTATTAAATACACACAAAATTCAAAACTGTTAACGACGTAATCACGCAAAATACTGGAATAAAAATGAGAAAACCTATGCAATATACCCAAACAAATAATTAATTTTTTACAAGATTGGACAAGTTGCTCTGCGTAAGTCAGTCGGTAGGTTCATTCGTAGTCAAGTGAAATACATTAAGTCACTTAGTGTGTTTTGCCTGAATCATATATATATATAGTTTTTGAGACTTAGTGAGAAACATGATAATTATAAAAATAACCGTTTTTGTTATTGTATGACTTAGTGAGTTTAACCAGTCTAAAGAGTAAAAAAATACAATAAAATGCTGCAAATAACTCAAAAGTGAAAAGAATTGACTTGTGTGTTTCGCTTGTAAGCCGACGATATGTATTATCATAGTATATAACCAAAAGATTAAAAAAAGTACGTAACTATATTCAGTCTCTTGTATTATTATGTAACTAAGCTGTTAATCAGATCAACTGGATGTTGCCCTCGGCACCAGTCGAGTTTTAACTAAAAAGGGCTCTATATTTAGTTGTGGGTGACTAGGATTCTCAATCAGGGCAAAATTTGGATTCTCAACGGGAAAGAAATGTCTCTGAATCAGGACGAGCCTGGGACTAACTTGGGACTACGTGGTACCTTAATTAGATGGAGAAAATACAAAGTTAAATATGCGAAGAAGCAAAAGTTACAAATATAAAGAAACGAAAGGAATAAAAAAGATCTTGGCCATTCGACAGGGCTCCCGAAACACAAGTCGAACTTCTCTTAATCTTGATGCACAGCGAAAAATTAAATAAAACTGAAAAATATGCATTTTTTCTAGAAACATATTTAAATATACAAAGGAATATTTGCAAACAAAACGTGACGGGACAGAATCGCTACATTTCATCGGTATTTTTCCATCTGGAGAACCATACATTTGTCGCTTTGAAGTTCGCATTACCGAAATTTCGACTATTTCTTCAGGTTTTCCTTTAAAACTAGACCGCTGATAGGAACATTTCGGGCCTTCTTCTCAGTAAAGTGTTTGGATTAATTTTGAATTAACTTGACAATCGTTGATGAAACGATTGGATGATCGTCTTGATTTTTTAAAAGTTTGCTCGCCTGAGCTTGTGAAATTCCAAACTTTCTAGCCATTTCGATTTGACTGCACTTGTATTGTTTCGCTTGTTTAATTACATTATCTTTTTCTTTTAAAGTAAGATTTTTTCTCTTCGAATTTAACAATGATATGATTCACTTGCAAACAGGTAGGTAGGTGAATTCTAAATTAACTGTTTCTAAAAATGTACATATTAACAGACAACGAAGTGGGTGGGCAATAGTGGGCAAATTTGTAGAAAAATGAAAAAGCGCTTTATTACCTGTAGATGTTTCGAGGAAATATCGAATTGGTACTCATAACAAAGTTTAAAGTATTTATTACCTAACAAACTCTAATAACCAAACATTTAATTTTTTAGAAAATAGTACATAAAACGTTATTCGTTTATCTCAAAAATATTCTATTAAGCTATGTTATTTTATTAAAACGTATTCCTATAAACGGTAAATTTATAAAGGAGTAAATAGAAACGTTTTGGAACCTCAAATTTCTATTCCTTAAACCGGGATATTGCTATAACGGGTATTCTAATAAACGGTCTTGACTGTCCATGTTAATTAGCGCTTTTTGTGCAGAATGAACCGTTCTGTCAGAAATAACGCTTGAAGTAACCGGCGATTTTAAATGTCAGTTACGCATGTGAAATCAATTTTTTAAATAAAATTTGTATTAACTGTACGGTAAAAATTCGATATCTTTTGATGAGAGTGTCCTAACAAAAATTAAAATGGATTTAAAAGGTGAAAAGTGTTTCGTATGCAATTTTTGCATGTTGCCGCAAATAAAGTCAGTTTCTATAAAGCTGTTAAATAAATAAACGTTTCGCTATATTTGCCATTTTATCTGATTCTCATGAGATCATTAAAATTTAGCACTTCCATTTGTCGGTCGCTATGGAGTTTTCATTGTTAGTATGTTTGTATAAATGAAAAAATAACTAAAAATACAAATTATCCACACTAAACAAGGTTTGTTTGGAAAGTGAAACTGACAGATGTCAATAAAATCTACGTCATCACTCCTGTGGTCCATTATGGGATAGAAAAACGAAGATAGTTTGCGTTAATTGCAAAGCGCCAATATGCCACATGTGTGAAACACACATTTGCAAAGATTGCCTATAAGAATGGATTGTAGTTTTTATATATTCTTTTTGTTTTTGGTTATTTTTTGTGTGGGTAGGTTAGATTAAATGTTATACGTGATAAGTATTTCAAAGATTTGTTAAATTTATATTTCAACAAAATAAACGTCTTTAAAGTATTGAAATATTTTTTTTAAATAGATATAAACAAATATCAGTGTCTAATTTTGCAAAACAAATTGGGGTCAGTGTGACATCAACTCACCATACACGTAACAAAAAATGGACCTCACCAGTTACGGGTTAAAATGTAAGTATACTAAGACAAAACAGTAGTTTTCTTCACATCTTCAAAACCTATAACAAACAATTTCGATTTTGAATTTTGGCAACAAATATAAGGTACTGGAAATGTACCTAAAAACGCTGAATTTAAACTTTAACATTGTAAACATTGTTTCTCTGAACAGTATTTGTTTTTACGAATGGTAGGTTACTAACCTTGCCAATCACCCTCCACATTTTATCGGTAATCGCAGAGCTATTCAATCCACCCCACAATCGTCCCAGGCAGATTATGTTCTAACCAACAGAGATATACATCCATCGAAAATAATCGATTTAAGATGCCTCAACTCAGCAGATGTGGGTAGCGACCATAGCCTAGTATTATGTAAAATAAGAATCATACTGAAATACTTCCCACGCAAGAGAGCAGCGCCAACAAAACGCCAACACCAACAAAAATCAAGGTCGAAGGACTAAATACGGAATCCATGGAATACTTATACGGGAAAAGAATATCAGAGAAAATCGCTGGGAATGAAATATTAGAAAACGATAACATCGAGGAAAACTGGGAAAAACTTAAAAATAACAATACTAACGCAGCAACAGAATCACTTGGAGAGAGGAAAGTAACGAACACTAATATATCAAAAAAAAAAACTATGGTTTAGAGAGGAAGTGAAGACAAAATGTGAAGAAAAGAAGAAAGCCTTTTTACAATGCAGAACACAACAGGCATACAACCACTATAAACGAATCAGAAATGAAACGAATACTTTAGTTAGACAAATAAAAAAGAAATACTGGCAGAGTTCCTCAAAACAGATGGAACACGACTTCTACGGAACACAAAAGGAATAATTACTATTTAAATAGGAATAAGCCATAATTAAAATAGTGATTACTTTAAAATGCCACAAGAAAATAGCATCAGAACAACAAAAAGAAATATCAGAGGACAAAGAAAAGAGATGAACGAACTAATAAAAACGAAACACATTCAGAAGGAAACATGGGTAGACTACTTTCGATCACTATTTGCTAAAGGTGACGATAATGAACTACCAACACTAGAGGTGAGGACAAACGAAGAAATTAATATTGAGGAGGAAGAGATAAAGGAAATTAAAAAACTAGATAATCACCAGGAGAGGACAGAATACAGAATGGACTCCTAAAGGAGTTTTGGAGGACCAGATCTGACCAAACAACTATTAAGACTAATCCAAACAATAATAAAACAAAACAGAATTCCTCAAGAATGGAGATCAAGCATCCTAATACCTCTCTTCAAAATGGGAGACAAATCGGACCCGGAAAATTTCAGAGAGATTAATTTATTAAACACAACACTAAAATTAACAACCAAAGTGATAACAAATAAACTGAATGAAATTGTAATACTAGCAGAAGAACAACAAGGTTTTAGATCGGGAAGATCATGTCCCGACGCTATATTTATAATGAGGCAAGTGCAAGAAAAATCATTAGAATACAACAAACCGGCATATCTATGTTTCCTGGACCTTAAGAAGGCATTTGACCGGGCCAAATTAAAAGACGTTATCCACTTACTGTACACAAGAGAGATACCTCTGGGAATAATCAACGTTCGAAAGTATCTACCAAAACAACACAATAAAAGTAAAAGTAGAAGAAGAACTAACCACCCTATTGAAGCTGGCAACGGGATAAGACAGGGAGATTCCCTGAGTCCTCTATTGTTCATTCTGATTATGGATAAAATAATAAAAAAAGTACGAACTAAAAAAGGATACCAAATGGGAGAAAAACAACTTAAAATAATCTGCTATGCAGACGACGCAATACTACTCTCTCAACGTAAAGATGATTTACAACGTATGCTGCACTAATTTAATATAACCGCCAGAAAATTTAACATGTTAATTTCCCAAAAAAAAAAACAAAATGCATGGTTACAACAGCAAATTTACTAAGATATAAATTGGAGCTGGAAGTTCAGATAATAGAACAAAATAATGATGGAATTTAAATATCTAGGCATCACTTTATCTAATTATGGAAAACTCGAAACTGAAGTGGAAGATCAAGTGATTAGAGCAAACAGAGCCGCAGGCTGCCTAAATGAAACAATATGGAGAAATAAAATTATGGGGAAAGAAACGAAAAGCAGATTTACAAAACAGT